GGTTTGGTTTGTTCTACACACACACACACACACACGCACACACACACACACACACACAAGTTGAAGGGCTTATGTCATCAAAGACACTTGTGTTTCTTGCACAGCGTCCCCAGTGTTAACTTTTATTGCCACTAAACCAAAAACCAGATGCAAGAAGTCACTCAAGGAGGCCTTTATATCAGTGGGGGAGGCAGCATGGTACAGGAAGAAAGCAGGAAGATAGAAGAGCAGAGAAGAGAGGATGAGAATAAAGGGAAGAAGTGCCCTTACAGCCTCAAGGTGGGTGTAGGGGGTGCCAGGTCAGGGATTGGCAGGTGCAGCTATAGGTGGATACAAGCCTCAGGGGATTGGTGGAGCACTGGGTTTGAACCCTCAGGTCACTAACCTTACTTAGGCTAGTGGGCCTCAAGGGGCTGAGACCTAGGAGATTTACGCTAGTGCTGGGTAAGCCAGCATTTAAGGCATTCAAGGGGGCTGTGAGTCCAGGGTGGCGGGGTCAGTCTCAGGGTGCTGTTTGGGTCACTCCTTACACCTAGCTCAGCTCTTGCTGATGTAAGGAAAAGCTGCTGATTCTTGTGTGTTCCAGAAGGTTGATTATTATTTTCCTTAGACACTTGAAAACAAGTGTTTGGGTAATATCCATGCCTTAAACATAGTATGTTCTCATTCTGAGATGTTACTGCATTTCATTAAACAACATAATGTCATGTTTTTTTTTAAGATTTATTTTTATCAGAAAGGTGGATTTACAGAAAGAAAGACATTCCATCTGCTGATTTACTCCCCCATTTACTTGAAAGGTAGAGAAAGAGAGAAGAGAGAAACTCCTTAAAGGCCTACAACAGTCTGGGCTGGGTCTCGGTTAACAAACAGCACAGGCAGGGTTAGGACGGTTTGTCGAATGGAAGGAGGGGAAGACACACTGGGCTGAAGGTGAGGCAGGAAGTTAGGAATAAAGGCACTGGGAGGTTCCTCGTGGTCTCTAACTTCACCCTCTTTCAGGCCAGCCTAGCACCCCCACACCCCCAGCTGCGCCTGAGCCGCCTCCACTAGGAAGAAGATGCCATAAAGGACACATGTGGGCTGAGCTACATGTGGAGACACCATAAAACATTCCATAGACATAACACCTGCTCAACCCTGCCCAAAATCTGCATATTCCATTAGGGTCCCCCTTTCCAATAAAGGGGACCTGTGAACTGGGGCACGTGTGGTTTTCCTCTTGGCATGTGTATCTATTATCTTTAAATAAATGCTACTCCCATTCTTGCTCTTCAACTGTCTCACCAAACTCTTCTCTCTCATGGAGGTTAAGAACTTGGGACAAATGCAGCTGGGGCCATCCTTCCCCACCACAGCTGGGCCTCCGGGGACGGACAGGAACCCAGGCCAGGCAGCTCCTGGAGCCCTGGTCTAGGACACGGGCAAGAGCACAATGAGATTTGCTGGTTTCTGTTGCATCTTTCCCCAGAAGCTCTGGCTGTAACTGGGCTGAGGCTCCTCTGGGCCACCCAAGTTCAGAAGACCTGGGAAGAGCCCAGCGATGACCGTGGGACAAATCAGGAACCAGGCAAGCTCCCCAGACTGGGTCTAGAGTAGTTAGCATCAGGTAAGTTCAAGCTCTTAGCATTTAAGGTTTATAAATCAGGCACCAAGACACCCTTGATCTCAGGTTGTGGTTCACAACCTGCCTGACTTCTCTGCTTCCAGATTCTGCCTCTGCTGAGTGTCCCTCCTGACCGCGCACCCAGAGATGTGGCTTCCTGTCTTGGAGGTCCAGTTTAGCCCCTCCCTCCTCTTCCGGGAAGACTTCCTTGAACATGTACTCTGGGCGTTTTTTCTTTTTCCTTTCATGAACCATTTCCTTCCTATGCTGTATGTCGTCTCTTTGTGTCCCAGCAGAAAGCAGCTGACAACACTCTATGGGGCAATTTGAGAGGAATCAATGAAGGGGCAGCACTCACCAGGGTGATGGCAGGGTGAAGGAGGGTACAGTCCTGTGGGGGTCAAGGTCAGGATGTAGTCCCAGGCTCAGGCTGTCGGGGCTCCAGAAACAGCACCCTGACCGTACCAGGTAGGACGAGGACCATGTGTGCCCGCCCATGTTCTCCAGGCCTGGGCAGAGAGTAGAGATTACAGGATATGGGTCAGGCGACCCCGGGGAGCTATGGGGGAATCTGTGGGTTTAGTCTCCTGTCCTGGGCAAGTGTGGTGGTGGTGCACAGACCCTTTCAGCACAGGCTTCCTTCGCAGACCCCCAGTCTGAGTCCATGCTGAGTCCATGTCCAAGTGCTAGTACCCTGCTGCCCACATGGGAGACCCTGCTGGAGTGCCTGGCTCCTGGCTTCAGCCTTGTCAAACCCTTGCTGTTCCAACCATTCGGGAAGCGAACCCGCAGATATAAGATCTCTCTGTCCCCACCCCCTGTCTCTGCCTTTCAAAGAAATAATTTTGTAAAGGTCCCTTATATGTATGAGCAAGCCAATCCCTTGTGCCCTCAAGTAGCAATAGCCTGAAACAGGGTGTGCCCCAGAGGGGCAGGTCCCATTGTCTTGCTTTCTCATTGTCCTTTATTTCACACTTGTTTCCAACGTGCCTACAGCGCTGGGTGTGGCCCTGTGGAACCAAGTCTGAAGCATGGTTTAACGGAGGGGTAGCAGAATTTGCCAGCTTGAGCTGTAAATTGCGTCATCAAAGCCTCACAGCTTTATTGTCCAGCGCCCCCTAGCGTCCAAAACGCCCCATGCAGCTGTAACGGCGGGTTGGTATTGGCAAGGAAGTGAAGGACTTGGGACCAGAAAGACTCTTGTCTCAACTGGAAACTTTGACTTTACTGTATCGAATTGAACCTAGATTTTAGAAGAAGGCTTTTATTCTGATGGGTAAATTGAGGAGTGGCCAGTGAACTTGCTCATTCAGGAAAAGTCAAGGAAGAAGGATTTTAAAGACATTCATTATTGGGGATTTCCAAATTCAACTCCACAGCCACTCTTCTCCTTACCTATTTTTTAGCTGCGTGTATCATTAATATCATTATTTTGCCTTTTAAATGACGCATTTGCTATATCGTGGAAAATTAAAATGAAAAGGTTTATTCATTTGTTTACATGACATTGACAGCAAAACCATGAGAGAGAATTCCAGTTTGCTGGTTCTCTCCCCAAATGCTTGCAATAGGTAGGACTGGACTGGGACAAAGCTGGGAGCCAGGAACACCAGCGGGTCTCTTCCACGGATGGCAGGGATGCAGCTACCCTGGACATCATCAGCTACCTCCCTATGCACATTAGCAGGAAGTTGGATAGGAAGCAGCATAACCAGGACTCAAACCAGACGCTCTGATGTGGGTGACCCAAGTGCCAGCTTAATCTATTTCATCACCATGCCAGCCTTAACACAACTTTGTTTTCCTTCTACTGTTTCTCCACCAGGAGCTGTATTGTTGACACTTATTCAAGTCCTTCGAGCCTGGAAATGCATGGATTTGGAAATGGAACAGCTGTGTCTCCAGCTGGCCCTCTGATACAAGATGCTGCACCACAATGCCAGCCCTATCATGGCCTTTTGTGCTGCTGTCTGCTTCCAACCCACGGACCCTCCTGCCTGGAAACCACTCTCACTTCTACCCTCTGCTTACTGGAAAAGATGTTTCCAAATCAGTTTAAATAGGGAGGAAATGTTTGGCCCTTTCAGTCTCAACCAGACATGCTCAATTTGTTTTCAAGACATGTGTCTGCATCTTGTTGCCCAAGAGTCTTTCTCCAGAGCCAGGCAGGCATGTCTGTATGAACCCAGGTGAGCTGAAGTGCTGTGGAATTTTCCCAAGGAGCAGCTCTCAGCCATGGCTGACTAGAGTGGAGAATCCATGCCCCCGCTCCCGTATCCCTTGAATGGTATCATTGAGAAAGAAGTATGTGTTATAGTAGCTTTCTCTCCACTCACATCTCCCCTGAACCAGTGAAGGTGGCTTGATAATGTACTCTGCGTTAGCATCTTCCACTTCCTATTTTACTTTCTCATGTCACTGTTAGTTTTTCCTGAACTTCCTGAGTAAACGTTCGGTTCTCAAACTTTTGCTTAAAGTCTGTGTTTGAGGGAACCATAAGATGTTACCAGCTCTTCCACGACTCTACTGCAATTTTTAAAAAGGATTTATTTTTATTGTACAGGCATATCAGATTTAGAGAGAGAAGCAGAGACAGAAAAGGATCTTCCATCCACTGGCTCACTCTCCAAGTGGCCGCAAAGGCTGGAGCTGAGCCAATCCAAAGCCAGGAACCTCCTCTGAGTCTCCTATGTGGGTACAGGGTCCCAAGGCTTTGGGCTGTCTTTGACTGCTCTCCTAGGCCACAAGCAAGGAGCTGGATGGGAAGTAGAGTAGCTGGGACATGGACTGGTGCCCATGTGGAATCCCAGCATTTGCAAGGGGAGGATTTAAGCACCGTGAGCCATTCCATTGGGCAGCAGGGCCTGCGGGCAACAGTTGTCTTTTTTATGGACATTTGAATGAGGAGGCTCTTGTCTGCTGTGCAGCGTATGAGTTTTCTAGAAAGAGGCCTCTATTTCTGCATGAATTTCACCACTGTTTTCCCAAATCTTTCTGCAGGAAGCAGCGTCATTGGGTAGCAGAGCAGAAAAAAAAAAAAGGCACATTTGAAAGGAGCCAGTGCAGGCCACGTGTGGCTGTTATTAAAATCTAAGGTAATTAGATCAAAATGAAATTTGAAAATCGAGGTCCTGAATTACACAAGCCATATTCCAATTGTTTAGTAGCTGCGTGTGGGTCATGGTGACAATGGATGTTAGATACAGAACATTTCTGCCATTGCAAATTGCTCTATGGTCACACAGAGCAAGCAGAATTCCTTTTGTGGTTGGGTATTCACAGTTGCATGTAAATCTCAAAGCTTCTAAATGTGTTCGTGAATAAGGGGGAATCTGAACATGAAACTGAATCCTGTAAGTGTAGTTACTTCATAATGAAAGAGAGAATCATGATGTAGAGTTTTTAAATGATTGTTTTATTTACATTTTGGCTGAATCACACACACATAAAGGTATTTCAAGTTCCCCAGCTGAACTGATGCTGGCATTCACAGCTTAATAGTGCTCCAAGTTGACATTTTTGTGGCCCACCTAGAGTTTTCTGTGAGACAGGAGGATACTAAGTCAGAGGCTGAGGAGGTTAAAATGAGTGGCCAAGGGCATTCAAGCCCCTTTTCAAGCCTTGGATTGGAAGTGAAGAATGGTATCTAGTCTGAACATGGAAATCCCTCTTGTTTGAGTTGGAGTGAGACATTGGCCATTTGGTTCCAAGACTGATTTTGAACCCTGTCAGCGGAGGAGCAATCCGTTGGTGAGCTCTTTGCATCCAGGGTCCAGGGTCTGTCCACCATTTTTTTCCTTAGGACTTGGCCAAGAACAAGGTAAGGACTCAGCAAATGTTGGCTGAATAAATGAATGATAAACAACCAGCAGAATGGACAAGCGATGATGGGCAGTGCCCGGGTCTGCTGGCCAATGGTCTACCACTCCTCTGCTTCCCTTTTACAATCTCTCTCAGAGGTTTGAAGTTCTAGATCCTAATATTTTAGCAAGATTGAAATCCACTGAGAGCTGTAAGGTGGCTCAGAGATTATTGACGTTAGTCCCTTTATTATACGATTGAAGAAGGGCCGAGTACTTCAGGGCAGGCTGCAGACTTCATTCATGGCAAGAAGCTTTCACATCCCAGTGGCTGGTAGAAGGGAGACTTTTCTGGCCTCCTTACCTGTTTCTGCTCCCTAACTTCTTTGCCTACACAGTTCTGGGGCCTCCACTTCATGCTGTATGTGTCCCCAGATTTGTCTTCCCGACATGCCATAGTGTTTGCATCACTCTCTTTCTTCAAACTCTCCAACCACTCCCACCTGGCCTTCCCAACAGAGCAAAGAGGTCCTTTGCCAGAAAGGCATGGCCCAACCCTCCATGTCTAATGAGCCTTCCACGTGCTTCTGATGACACCCATGAGGGTCACAGAGTTAGATCCGTGGAGTTCTTGTGGGCTCCAGACTTCCCCTTTTCATGGCCAGAATACCCGTGTGCAAGACTCTGGCCTCCTTTGTTATGTAGCATTGGCATTTAAGAGGACAGTGGATGCCTTGCAGGGCTCTTTGAGTTGCTCCTGAGAAAATTGGTCATTTGGTGTGAACAGAAAATTGCCTAACAACTCAGACTGTTAGGACAGGTATGGCATGCTGACAGGTTGCTTGAGTATTCACTCACATACCCCTCCACCACCTCCACCACCACCATCAAAAGGATGCTGGTGAAAGTTGAGGTTTCAAATACAGAAAGGTTTACCTATCTATAGCTGCACATTGGAACTAGCACTCAGCCGCATGGACTTTTTAGCAAATCAAGCAAAGCTCGGCATTCCACGGTTGCCATTGGTAATGATTTTGGAGCACATTGTACACGTGTGAGTCTGAGAATGTCTTCGAAGGCTTCAGTCATGCCAAAGATACATAGGGCTGATCTAGGGGTCAGTGGGGTTGATGTAGCATATTTGCTTCATCTGTCTTGCTCATCTTCTTTGGGCAGTATTTTGCCTTAGAACACAACTGAAAGGTCTGGATCACCCGATGATGGGGAGATGGAGCTGGCCCTTTCCAGCCTCTCATTAGAAAGGAATGGGATGTATTTGCTCAGGTAGATGCCTACATGCCTCTGGAAAAAGTGATGCAGGTACTTCTGGAATTTCTCCCCTACAAAGGCATAGATGATAGGGTTGACACAGCAGTGGGTATGGGTGATCACCTCTGTCACCTGCCTGGCCAGGTCCAGCTTTCTGTTGCATTCACAGCTGTTCTCCAAGAAGACGGTTTGAAAGGCAGAAAGAAACAGAACCAGGTTGTAGGGTGTCCAGAAAAGGAAAAAGACTAACATTATGAGAAAAATGAGCCGGATAGCTTTGCACTTGGCTCTGTTGGGGCACCTGAGCAGCGTTTTAATGATTCCAGAATAGCAGATCGCCATGATGAGCAGAGGCAGGACAAGCCCCAGGATATTCATCTTCAAGGTATGGAAATGCTTCCAGGCCTCTTCCTCATTTGTGGGGTACGCGGGGCTGCACGTAGACTCTTCAGGCCCTGCTTGGAACTCACGGAAGACGAACTCTGGGAGGGCTGCTAGTCCTGCGAAGACCCAGGTGAGGACACTTGTGATGACCCCAAAGGTGACCGTGCGGGCTCGAAGGGCAAACACCGCATGCACGATGGCCAGGTACCTGTCCATCGTCAGCAGGATGATGAAAAAGATCTCGCTGTATAAGCCCAGGGAATACAACCCCGAGAGGAACTTGCACATGCTGTTGTCAAACACCCACTCTTTCTGCCTGATATAGTGAATCCAGAAAGGAAGAGTGAAGAGAAAGAGCAAGTCAGAGATGGCCAGGTTGAACAGGTAGATGTTGGTCATAATTCTAAGCCTCTTGTATTTTGTGAGGATCACCACCACCATGGTGTTGCCCAAGAAACCAACGATGAACACCAGGGAATAGAGCGGGGGCAAGAACCTGGCCCCCAGCTCTTTGATGCTGACTTTTTCACATGGAATTCCCACAGCGTAGTCGTAGATCGTAGTCCCCAAGACTTCGGCCACTGTCTCAATCCTGCCTGTTGAGGCTGCCATCTCATTTGTGCTGTCATGGAAGAAAAAAAATTAAAAATCAGGAGGAAAATCAGACCAGCTGGGAGTCCATGAAGGCTAGGACGCACCACTGCCTTGGGGTGGCGGAGTTCAAAGGACTTTGTCTTTCTGAAGAAGACAGGCATGAGTGTGAGGACCTGAATGCATGAGCCAATGAGCATTTCTCAAGAGGAGCTTTAGAAATGCAATCCTTGGGCGGTGGCTCAGTGGTTAATGTCCTCGCCTTGCATGCCCGGGATCCCATATGGGCACCAATTCTATCCCGGCGGCCCCGCTTCCCTTCAAGCTCCCTGCCTGTGGCCCGGGAAAGCAGTCGAGGACGGCCCAAAGCTTTAGGACCCTGCACCCACGTGGGAGACCCTGAAGAGGCTCCTGGCTTCGGATCGGCATAGTATCGGCCCTTGCGCTCACTTGGGGAGTGAATCATTGGACGGAAGATCTTCCTCTCTGTCTCTCCTCTCTGTATATCTGCCTTTCCAATAAAAAAAAATAATAAAAATAAATCTTTAAAAAAAAGAAATGCAATCCTTGGCAAGGAACTGTCTTTGCCTCTTGGTAGAATACTTCATAAAATGTGGAAATCCCAAATGTCAAGTTTATGTAGTCAGAGAGTAAGAGCAGGCACGAGGAAGCAGCAGCCAGTCTTTGACCTTCTCATCAGCTGTGTGACCCAGGTCCTTGACTTTGAACCCCACTGACTCGTCCCCAAAATACACTCCATGATATCACTATGGGTGTTGGTGAGAATCAAACAAATGTATCATGGCCTGTGCTGTTGTGGGGACTGAAAATGGTTCCCAAACTCCCCTAGCCATTAACCTCCAAAGAGCATGAAAACTTAATCCAGCGATGTTGGCTAGACCTGGGGCTTGTGGGGGGATCCCCAAGTTACCGGGGGCATGCCCTCAGAAGGCAGGGCTCCTGAGAGAGCTGGTTATGTAAGTCAAGTCTGACCCGGTCTCTCTCTGCTTTCTGGCTCATTGTGTAAGCCTTTCTCTGCCCATTGTTTACATGTGGCAATTGCCTGCTGTCTTAGCCTGCTTTTTGTTACTAGTAACAGGATACCTCAACCTGGGGCAGTTATGAAGGAAAGGATTGTGTTGGCCCACGGGTCAAGGGCCCCATGCTGGCAGAACTTGGAGGAGCTGCAGGGTTTCACAGAGCATGAGCTGTGTATGTGTGTGTCCGTTCCTCCAGTCTCTCATCTTATAAAGCCACAGCTACCCAACTGTGGAGATTCAACTTTCATAATCTTACTTAACCCTCCTCTCTTCCCAGATACCTTGTCCCTAATCACCATGGTCAAGACTTCACCCTGTCAGGGCCTGACTGTAGAAATTGAACCTTGGGCCGGGTGCGATAGCGTAGCAGTTAAAGTCCTCGCCTTGAATGTGCCAGGATCCCATGTGGACGCCGGTTCTAATCCCGGCAGCTCCACTTCCCATCCAGCTCCCTGCTTGTGGCCCGGGAAGGCAGTTGAGGATGGCCTAAAGCCTTCGGACCCTGCACCTGCATGGGAGACCCGGAAGAAGTTCCTGGCTCCTGGCTTCGGACTGGCTCAGATCCAGCTGTTGCGGCCGCTTGGGGCGTGAACTATCGGACAGAAGATCTTCCTCTCTGTCTCTCCTCCTCTTTGTATATCTGCCTTTCCAATAAAAACAAGTAAATATTAAATTGAACCTCAACATGACTTTCATAAGGAACAACCCAGAGCAGCCAGCATACCACACAGTGTAGCACACACACCTGGTATGATGTGAAACCTGCCAGGTGCCGTGCTAAACAAACGGATGGGGCAGAATACTTCTTAAAAAAATTATTTTATGATACAGTTCCATAGACTCGGGGATTTCCCCTTCACCCCAATTCCCCTTTCCCCACTGATTTGGCCTACATTGTTACAATATATAGTCCTTCAAAAACAGTCATAAGTCTATTATTCTGCTATTTAAGTAAGTCACGACATTACAAATAGAGACGATGACAGAAAGTCCAGCATCCTACTGTCAAGACATATTTAACAGTTTCATTGGGCATTCCTCTTTGATTTCAGGATAGAGTTGCATGCTGTGTTGTCTAGATGGCCATATCTATATGCGTGTTTACCTCTCTATTGAGTTCATATTTTGCATAAAGGTTTGGGGCAGAATGATTCTTACACTGTTTAGATTTTGCATTGGAAAGGATTTTGTTTCAGACACCAACTTTGAAGAGGACCGTGATTAACCTTATAAGAGAACAGGGGAGGTCCTGCCAAGTCCTAAATGACTTGCAATGTTTCATAGGAAAAATGAAACTCTTCAGATTTATTTTAGCTTCTTTTATTAATGAATTAGCCAGTATTGGTATGTCTTTGGGATCCAAATTTTGTGATCTTTCATTAAATTATTAGATTAGTTGGTGTCTTAGCTTTTCCTATAGGAGAGGAGAGTCTCCAGAGAATGGGAATGTGACAGCTTTGGGAGAAATCAGATTCAGCCACAGACGCTTTCCTGAGAAAGGTTCAGGGGCAGAATGGAGAAGCCAGACAGCTCCTTCCATGAAGATACACAGCAAGCGTCTCTTAAGGTTGGCACTGTGAAGAAATGCAATCCATTGCTCTGAAGTTTACACTTTAGGGTGGCACGTGGCTATTCACAGCAGCCAATCATTAACATGAGGGCATTTAGAAATGTTTGGGGGAAGCAAGAACTGAGCTGGCTGGGTTACTGGTGAAGACACCTGTGCCCAAGTTGGAGCGTGTGGGTTCTAGGCCTGCTCTGGTGCCTGATTCAAGCTTCTTGTTCATGAGGCCCCCAAAAAGCAGCAATGATGCATTACATGGTTGGATTCATGGGAAACCTGGATCAAGTTCCCAGCCACGGTGTCAGTAAACCCCCACACACTTTGGGCGTTTGGGGAGTGGACCAGTAATTAGGATCTCTCTTTCCATCTTAGATAAATAAAATGCATGTGTGTGTGTGTGTGTGTAGTGGCTTCTTGGTGATGCACCCTGGGGGGGCAGTAAATGCTGGCACAGTTACCTGGGTCCCTGCACCCACGTGGGAGGCCTGGGTGGAATTCCTGACTCCTGACCTTGGTCTTCCCCAGCCCTGGCTGTTGCGGCCGCGTGGAGAGTGAATCAGGGGATGGAAGAGACCTCTCTCTCTCTCTCTGCCTTTCAAGGAGATAAAAATTTACAAAAGTTTCTTTTAAATTTTTCTTAAAGAGAAGCATTTTTTTTAAAGATTCTCCAAAGTACAGTTTCTATCAGATATCATATTTCCGAGATTCTTAATGCATTTTGCATACTGCTTCCAAAACGCATTCCATCGTGTGTCAGGAATATTCCTCAGTCTCCTTGAAGTAACTCATATATACACACACGCGTGCATGCACACACATATGGAAATACAAATTTTCATTATTTTGTGTACGTCTATACCCCTAAATGCCAACTACTAAATTTAATCCTTTTGGAACAGTCATAGGCTCCATGAAGAGTTTGTATAAGTACAGGAAAATGTGGCTCCAGGGAAGTATCAAGAGCCAAATTTGGATGAGTACGAGCAACAAAGATACCAGAGTATGGGATCGAGAGAGAAAATAAAATAAAATAAAATTACAGAATCAAGAACAAGGCGAGTTCCTCTCCTGCTCTGGCCCCGTTCTCCCCCTGCGCTGCAGGGCATCGCCCTCCCTCCTCTCCCTGAGCCACACGTGCTCCTGGAGGACACGGCTCTCACCTGCCCGGCCCCTCACTCCTGCGCACATTGCCTGCACACCTGACCACAGACCAGAGCATCTTCTGTACATCAACTACTTACTGTTGCGTTTCAGTCGGTTCCCTCCCAAAAGACAGACCACTGGCACCTGCCGATTTAGCTTCTAGGTGAGTTCAGTGGCAGCGTACGTCTCATCACCCCTGGAGCAGAGATCCCGCCCTGTCAAACCCTCTTAAGGTGGTAAACAACCTGGCTTCCTGTTTTAAAAAAGCTAGATGTCGAGATTTTGCAAGTTTCTAGAAAGATATCAAATTTTAGACTTCTTCTTTTTCTGTTCTTGACAATACCAACACTCCATTGGGTAATCCTTGAAGAATGCCCATGATGTTCAGCAGCTACCGTGGGCAAATGACATTGAAGACACATCCACGGAGTGGCTGTTTAGCCTAATGTGCCTGACTCCAGCTTCCCACTGATGCAAGCCCTGGGCGGCAGCAGGTCATAGGCCAGCAGTTGAGTCACTGCCTCACACAGGGTATTCCTGGATGGGGTTTCCAGTTCCTGGCCTGGCCCCCACCCAGTCCCGGCTACTAAGGGCACTCGAGGGAAGGAACCAGTGGATAGGAACTCTTCATATCCACCACTCTTTGTCTCTCAAAGAATAAGTTTGCTCAAGAATAAATTGAATCTTTTTAAAAATGATTTTGGGAATCTCTTTTTCATCATTTTTGGACTTGGAAGATTCTCGTATTTTCAGAGGTTCTCTACTCGCTTGGCATTGCTCCTTTCTGGGGTGTGTGTGTGCATATGTGCACATGTGTTTGCATGGTAAAGGGGTTATAACTTTCAAAACTGCACTGTTTTGACCCAGAGGAAGCAGAAGGAGGCATGCCATTGGGATTTCTCTCTAGAGAAAGGATGGCAACTAGGGCATAGCAATGATTTTACAGGGTCTAATGCCGGATTTTGACGAGTTGAGTACACTAGCCGCAAAGGTTTAGAAGACTTGGGTATGCGTTTCAGTTGTGGCCGCCATATGTCCTAACCTCAGCCTGATCACGAAAACTAACTGGACCTCAGTTTTGTCATCTGTAACCTGGACATCATGATACATGCCTCATGGTTGGTCACTGTGAAAAGTCTCTGTAGAATATTCAAGAAAATGGCAAGTGTGGGTAGAAAGCTACTAGGTCACAGACTTGTGTGCCTCCTCCCTGTGCTGATGATCTGGCGTGGCACTGGGAACAGAGTGGGTGTCTGTTCAATGTTGATTGGAAGATCTCTGACCAGGAGCACTGCTGATAAGCCAGCTAACTGGAGAAGCCTCTGAGTTCACTAAGTAGCTATCAAGATGTGTAGATCTGTGTTATATACTTCATGGTACAGAACAGAAATAAAGGGTAAAAAACAAGGCTGAAGGAAAGAGAAGCAATGGATGGGAGGAAGTGGATCTGTTCTTAAGAAGCCTGTAATCTCATTAGTGATCAGAGATAGCAGAGACCTGCCAAAACACCGGTGTTCAAATACAGTCCAATAATTACAAAGTAGACCTTTAGGCACATGTTCAAAACAGCTAAAGCAATACTTCTTGGAGCAGCAGTAATCTTGCTGCTGAAAACTCACCTGTACCACTTAATGGTGACCTGGCCTTTCAAGCTGCATGACCTCTGGGGGACTCTACTCCCTTGGATGCCAAACAATAAAGCGCGTCTGTGGGGTTTGTGTGGAGACCAGTGCATCACTTGCACACAACACCGTATACATAGTAGTCATTGCTGGCATGACAGGTCCTGTCCTGATCACAGGTTCAGGGTGGTCTGACCTAGAGTGAGCATAGAATACAAATTCTCTAGGGTTATGAAAGGACGTCCATGGGGCCCAAAGGGCCTGGAAGAGGTTTCACAGAAAAGGAACAACCTATGGATGGATGAGATTTGACCAGATGGCAGAAGGAGGAAGAGTTTCTAGCAGAGGAAGCTTCCAGAAAATCCAGAGATGATCTGCCCTGCAGGTGGTCAGAACGCTCTTCAGCAGAGAGTGGAGTTGAGCAGGGCCATGGCTGCTGTTCCTACTGGCTTTTCATCCAGGGGGCCATACTCGGCGATCATAGCATGTGGGGGCAGGCAGTGGGTGCCATGTTGGTTCAGGAAAGGCGTGGAACAGAGTGAGAGCGATCCGCTATTGGCCTTAGCTAGATCAGAGAGACGAAGGGCTTAGAGAAGCTTCCCGGGGCACTTGGGAGCTAGCGAGGGCTTTTGAGTCCTAGTTCTGGGACCATATTGTTGGAGATCAGTGCTTGAGCATGCAGAGCACTCATTTACACACACTGTCGTGCAGCGGCCAGGCGCTTGTCATTCCAGCACCTCTTGCCCAGAACACTCCCATAGGGCACCATTCATATCACGTACGTGCAGAGAGCTACCCCAGTGGAACTGTGCAATGCACCAGCATGAGAACTGTTGAGGTCTGGTAATCCCCTGCCCTGTGGAGAGGGGAACTGAGCTCAGGTGACCCATGAGGTCAGGTGACCAGAGGGTGAGAGCAAGAATTCAAACTCCCGTCTTCCCAGTTCCACACCGGGTTTTCTCGCCACACGTGGAGCATGTTAGCACCAGAACTGGACTCAGATCTTGCCTCAGCCATCAACAGGTCACGCTGAGGAGTCTTTTGGCCTTGCTGAGCCCAATTTCATTGTCTGCAGGGGGAAATTATAGCTAGCTACTAACATCTCTGTAGAGACAGCTTCACCTGAAGTCTACAGAGTGTAGTAATTCCTGCAATGTTATGTGATTGTAGAAAAAAAAAAAAAGCTTTTGGAGACTCTTGCAAAGGACCTATTTGCATAATATTCCAAAAAAGCTCATCCACAAGATAATGTAAGAATCCGTTTGCTCCCATTTCTAGACTTTTGAGAAAGAGCCAAGAGGTGAGCACTTCTGGCGTTTGCAACAAAGCAAATTTTTACAAGAAACTCCATGGTTCCCGCCATTTGCGTTTCACACAAAACCCACTGACGACTAACTGCACTCTTTTAAGTGAGGTGATTGACAAACTCAGCAGCTGCAAGCTTTGGTGAATTCTTACCATCAGTCAGGAGAAAACTTGGTAAGGTACCCCTACCTGCCCCCCATCAAAGGAATCTCCTGTTCCCCTGCAGCCCATGAACCCCCCACTACCAGCCCCATGAAGCCTCCAATTTGCCTTGAGTTGCTCTGGTTTAGCTTGGTGTATTGTAGGATTTCACAAGGGGCTTGTGCCTTTCTTTTTGAGTCTAGTGTTTTTCACTACATAACCTGTTAGTCACTGTACCATTGCATGGATCGGTAGGCACGGGTTCCCCAGTGTCCCTGCTTTCCGTTCCAAGAGAGCAATAGCTAAGCGCCCTGACAGTTCCGTCACAGCCAGCTCTGTGCTGTCTCCTGCAGGCTCAAACCCAAGGCGAGCCTTGCACTCTTGAGCGCTAATAAAGGTATTTTGGTTGTCACCCAGAACACTAAAGGAAGCTGGCCCCTTAGCCAACTTCCCTAAACCCTCACACCCAGCACCCAAGAGATAAAGGATCTCTTGTTGTTTGTTATGGGGACACTGCAGCACTTCGTAAATTCTCCTAATAATGCTTTGGACTTAGAGTTGAGAAAGAAGCCCAAATAGACACTCTACAGGGGGAAAAAAAAGGCCATGTAGATGACAAATAGTGTGTGACAAGATTTTCAACACTGTTAGGCATTCAGAAAGTAGACGTTCAAACTGCCACAAGGCACCTGCACACATATTAGAATAATGACTGTCACTTTATTTTTTTTTTATCTGACAATATCAAGTTCTGTTAAGGTGATAGAGCAGCTGGAACCTTCGTGTGCTGCTGGTGGGAAGAAAAAATGAAAAAGTCCCTCTGACAATCAGGCGGGTTCCATAAAGTGCACCATAATTGAAAATGATTCATGCGTGTGTGAGAGAGACTATCAGCCTGGCAGAACATTGGAGCAGCTTTTCAGGAAAGCCATTTGCTTTCCAGAAATACAAAGTTGAAATATGAGATTTGAAACTGCATATTTAATTGACCAGGAAGTGTCACAGATCTTCATTTCTTTAAATGCCTAAAAACTGATCTGAGTCCTAAACGTGGTTAACAGTATCAGGGCTTCACACCTGGGTTGTGAAGAAGAGCATCTGGTTAGCCATTGCTCGATAACAAGTAATCTTGCAATGTGGGATCTGTAAATAGCAATGTGTTGGTGGCTCTCATGGTTCTGAGGATTGCTGGGTTCCCCTGGGGTATTCCTGCGCCCCACCGCCACACTGACGCTGCACCCTGCTGTAATCCATCAAGCAAAGCTGTAGGAATCTGCCCAGGGGAAACAATGTGTACCTCGAGAGGGAAGGAATTGATGGTGGCCATGAGACAAATCACCCAGCACCACAAGTCACCGGCGTGCTTTGCACAACGTTCACTGGCCAGAGTGGCCCTTGCATTCCAACCTTGGGGTGGCGGGGTATCTATTGAAGACTGGAGCTGTGACCCTAACACTTCAAACGGCCACCTGCTCAAGTTCTGCTGCTTTACTTGCTATTCTGCTCCGTTTCTCATGGCCTAGGAAAAGCAAGAGAAGGTAGCTCAAGTTTTTGGGCCCCTGCCACCTGCTTTGGAGACCTGGCTGAAGGTCTCGGCTCCTGACTTCAGCCTAGCGCAGCCCTGACTATTGTGGCCACTTGGGGAAAGAACCAGAGAACAGATTGGTCTCTCCCTCTCACTGTGTAACTCTTTCAAATTAATTAAAAATTATGTAGAAAAAATTACCAAATGTACAGATAAATATATACTATTCTTTATTGTTGATGGTCACGTAATTCAGTAAATCATTTTGGAAAATAGGGTATAGGTTCCACAAAAAGTTAGAAATGGAGCCCTCGGTGTGAGGCTGTATCTCACTATTGCAAATAGAGGGCATGAAATCAGTGTGTCCAAGAGAGCTCTGCACCCCCATTCCGCTGTGACACTGTCCACGATCGGCCAGGCCTGGAGTTCGCCTAAGTCCAGCAACAGGGGAACAGTGTGGAATATACAGAGGCCCCAACACTTACGATGAGGCTGTGTCCCACTAAACCCTTGAAGTAGAAAACATTGTATGTCCAAACTGCATTTCAGGGGCTGCCGCTGTGGTGTGGTAGGTGAATCTTCTACCTGTGATGCTGGCATCCCACAAAGGCACAGTTTGTGTTCTGGCTGTTCTATTTCTGA